TTTTTGAACAACCTGATCGGATGCTAGGTGTGCTGATAAGAGCAGGCACAACTAGCACCGTCGGGGAGGCTCCATCTATTGGTGGGGAGCAGCACCTGCTGGAAAACGGCCTATGTGCACTTTTTTTTGGTTTTGTGGATGGTTGGGACTCGACTCTTTTGGTACTCTCTGAGCCTTTAACACTGATAACCGAAGTTCGATAAATAATCATGACAGACATTCCTCTGGATAATTGGGGCAATCACAATCCTATAGAACAACAATAATAATGTAACGACTCTGAATTACCTGGCCCTGTGGATATAGCTCAAGACTGCCCTTTTTGCGAAATACAGGGAAAACAATTCAAAACATTATTAAAAAAAGAGTTTTGTGTAAGTTGACGAAGCTACCGTCCAATGCTCGCGAGTTTCCAACTCGGCCTTTCGTAGTGGCCGACCACTTTCGCTACCAGCCCAGGCAAAGACACAAGTCAACCATGCATTTGTGTATGAAGGGGAAGCCAAACAAAGTACCGGATCTTCAACGTTCATCTAACGCAGCCACACTTCCATAATCTAACTGTTACGGCGGTTACAACGCGGATTGCAAGGGAAGACGCAAGTCAACCACCGGCGTGCATTCGTTTGCAGGCCCGAATCGAAAAGCTCATGCCGCATAAGCCGGTAAGAGCCCTTTTTTTTCTTGTTTTTTTACTTTGCTTTGGGTGAATAGGCGGAATGCAAGCCCGTAAGAGCCCTACTTTGCTTCGAGTGAATTGGCGGTTTGACCATCACATCATGCCCCGGGCAGAACGGATAGTTGGGCACATATATTGACCGCGATTTTCAGGGTTTAGGGGGCTACCAGACCAAAATAGGGGTCGGAAACGACGAAAGAACGGCCTCCGGCGCAGTGGTGTATTCCCCCAGATTTTCAGTTTCCCTGGGGGAAAGTTGGGGGAGTACAAGTGCGAGTGTGCCCTGAAGTCTTTGTTTCGTTTTGAAGACCTTTTCGATGAAAGTCCCCCTCTGACACAAGTCCATAATGGACCCACGTAGCGCACCCATACAGCCTCCCCGTTAAAGCACCAGTACACCATACATCAGCCCGTGGGTGTCAGCATGAAACCCGCACCACTTCGGAGGGTGCCGATTTTTTTTTTTCAACGCCCCCCTGCGCCGTGCGGCCCCTATGAGGTTTGCTTGTGGCAACAAAAACTTTTCTGCAAGGCTGGGACCGTGTACTTGCGGTTTAACACCTAAAAACGCGATAGGTACTGGTGGTTTAAGTACAGTCCTGAATTTGTAATAACCCGTGCGGCTCCACTGCCCATGGATATAGTTGCTCTTTGCTAATGAGAACTTTCCCAGGCCCAACACCATCATCTGAGGGGCAGCAGCAGATCGAATGGCCGCAGTGCAATTGCAGGCTGAGTTTCAACACACCTGCAAACGAGTTCTTGGAAAATGATACTCTGCTGCGCCATTCCCAAGTTGAGGACCCCTGAAGCATCAGTGGATCGCGGGCAAGCGACGGGATCCGATTTCTCAGAGAAGACAGGTGACGTCCCCAGAAGGGAATTTTCTCAAATTCGGCAGTGGAGCCCCTGACTCTGGCCGGTGGAGCACGACTCTAGTGTTTGTTACCTGATCCGTTTGCAGTGATTGCTTTTGTGTCAGAAATGGAATGAACATTATATTTTGACGATACAAAGGAGCTCACGGCAGATTACGGTTAGTAGGGCACAGTGAGGGGTTGGAAATCCTTGTGCGCACTCGGTATGATTTCTTTTTCAGAAGAAGAAGAGGGAAAATGATATGGTTTGCTGGACTTTTCCTTAATGAAGTCGTCCTCACACGCTTGAAGCCCAGCAGGTGCAGTGACGTGGATTGTTGTCTGGCAACCAAAAAGCACTGCCTGGTTGGGTGGGGTTTTCCATGCATTCGAGAGCGAGCTCACTGATTGTCCTGTGTGAGCGCACACACCATACCCTCGCAGTTCCAACGACATCCTTTTTTTTTTTTTAACTTATCTCCCTGTCGTGGATCTTGCTAATGGAGGTGATAGTGGCTGCAGCCACGTTGTCGACAGGATTGCCATCTGGGCAAGGGCTGCTGTTGGTTTCTGGTAGTCTTCCCCTGTGTTTTATTAAACCACCAATACCTTTTGCATATGTCGGCCACGGGCATTGCGTGCCGACCCAAAAATCAAGACTGACCGATGATTGGATTTATCGGCGGCTACCCGGCACGCCTTTAAAAGAATAGCTGGGAAAGGTACTGGTGGTTTAACCTGTGCAATGATGTGAGGAGCCGTGGGGATGCTTTTTCTTTGTCCTTTTTCATTTCCAAAGAATGAAAGAACACTGTTATGCAAGCAGGCACTCCTTGCCAGCTCTGCACATTCAAGCTACTACAGCAGCAATTTCAAAAAAGGAGATATCTGCCTCTTCAACATACCAGGTTCGCCATATTCAGCACTGCCTTCTGGCATATCTCAGTCCTTTTTCTGAACCCATTAGTACTATTCCACACACGCAGATACTTTTCCCCTACCCAAAACGCCCACTTGACCCATACCACGCCTAGGGGCTCTTACAGGCTGAAGCCACCAACCTGACAGGCCTCAATCCCCCCCACTCACCCCCTGCGCGTGGGGGACTGATGGGCAGAAGCCACCTACCTGACAGAATCCAGGGCCACCAGCCATCAGAACTGGTCACCAGGGAAGGTACGGGCCTTACGGCCAGTAGCTGTGCACCACAAGTGCTTAACGGGGACCCCCACTTTCAGCTTCTGAGTAACGGGTCGAAAACTGAAATTAGGATTTGTTGTCTGGAAATTGAGGCCTCCGTTAACCACCTCTCCTGCACACCTGACAAGACTAGGGTTGACTCCACACCATTAAACCATCACGCATCTTTCTCGTGTCGTGTTGATTGGCTTGCACAGTTGGGAAGTTGGGAGGGCAATAATGAAGTGAACTTCTGTAAAAAGAAAAAGGGGGAAAAAAAATCATGGACCATGTTAATTCAAATTTGTGCCATTATCCAGGAGCCTAGCCAAGCCGGTAAGGCATGCCGGTCGCATTCAGGAGATCTTGGGTTCAATCCCCATTGGCTTCATGTTACCTTCTTGGGCAAGGTTGGCGTCCACCATTTGGTAGAGATATGCCATTGTCCCCCTCAGTGGCATTGAGCAGAGACTGTTGATGGTCATAGAGGGAGGGGACCGGAGGGGGGGGCACAGTGACTGGCCCATAGGCCTCGGAGGGTTACTCCATGAAAACGGGCAAGCCCAGCATCAAATGGAAGCTGGCGTTTTTTTATTTGGCCAATTATTTGTTTATGGACAATGTATGTTGTCAACTTCTGAAGTGAAGGTGCACTCACTCTTTGTCACAGTTCGTCAATAGTGTGTGGTGGGCCATGTGGCAGAACACTCGTTCATTTGTCACGGTTGCCTCCGTTTCTCTCTCTCTCTCTCTCTCTCTCTCTCTCTCTCTCTCTCTCTCTCTCTCTCTCTCTCTCTCTCTCTCTCTCTCTCTCTCT